CCCATTTCCTACCTACTAACCCTATCCCGCCCCCTTGACCTGTCCGTCCTCCCTGGACTGACCTATCTCCTCCCTACCTCCCCACCTCCACTCACGTTTACTGGCTCCATCCCCGCCTCTTTGACCTGTCTGTTTCCTCTCCACCAATCTTCTCCTCTATCTATCTTGTATCCGCCTCCCCCTCTCTCCCTATTTATTTCAGAAACCCCTTCCCCTCCCCCATTTCTGATGAAGGGTCCAGGCCCGAAACATCAGCCTCTCTGCTCCTATGATGCTGCTTGGCCTGCTGTGTTCATCCAGCTCTACACCTTGTTATCTCAGATTTTCCAGCATCTGCAGTTCCTACTATCTCAGAAGTAGATGAGCCCAGACTCAGCGCAAACGCTCCTACTTCACCACTGCCATTTTGCCCTGATATTTTAAGAGCTCACTCAGATGCTTAAGCGTTGCGAGAGTACCTGCCTCCTCCAGCATCTCAGGCAACACATTTCATATTTCTACCACCCTCTGAGTGAAAAATGTTTCCTCAGATCTCTTCTAAACCTCTCTTCTTAGTCCACACCTTAAACTTGTGCCCTCTAATCTTAGAATCATCTGCCATGGAGAAAAGATTCTCACAACCCACCCCATTCATGCCCCTCATAATTTTGTATACTTGAATCAAATCCTCCCCTCAAAGAAAACAAACCCAGTCTATCCAGTCTCTCCTCATAACTCAGACTTTTCATCACAGGCAACATCTTGATGAGTCTCGTCTGTACCCTCTTCAGTGCAATCACATCCTTCCAATAGTGTGATGACCAGGACTGCATACAGTAATCCATCTGTATCCTAACCAATGCTCTATAAAGTTTAACATAACTTCCTTGCTTCTATATTCTATGCTCCAGCTAATGAAGGCAAGCATCCCATATGCCTTCTTCACCATCCTGTTTACCTGTGCTGACAACTTCAGGAATCTATGGACTTGCACACTAAATTTGTTCCTCAGTAGTGTCCAGGTACATAACATTCATTGTATATATCCTTCCCTTATTAGACCTCCCAAAATGCACCATCTTGTACTTGTCAGAATTAAAGTCCATCTGCCATTGCTCTGCCCAATTTACCAGCTGATGAATGTCA